CAAAACTTTTCATCTCCATTCTAGATTTGGTGATATATGGGATCAAAAAATTATGGATTAAGTCTACTTTTGGCTCCTCAACTATCATGTTGGTCTAATTTTGACCCCCAACTACAAAACTGTCTGGTTCAGGAACCTCAAGTTTAAAAACCGTTCACTCTTAGCACCTAGACACGGTTGTGGCTGTTTTATGCCGACGTGTATCTGGTTTTGATCTGCCACGCTGGCGTTGATCGCCATGTAGACGCACACACACGGGAGGGATAAAACCCGTGTATAAAACCCGGCGCCGGTCGGCGTCCCCTACCCATCCCGGGCCCCGCCTCCCGCTCCGACCTCCACGGCGATCAACGCAATTGCTGGGCTGGCCGCTCAAACTCGTTTTACGCTCTAGACAGCCAACACAAATCCCTATCCACTGTTGTCACTCTACAGTATTCTTGACAATTTGACAGCCAGCATTACTCTATCTTGACAGGCAGCCATTTTCAGCAGCCATCGAAAACTGTCAACGCATGCACATGCATGCCATTTCTGATAAAGTTGTAGCTAGCACTGACGGAGACAGAGCGATGCTCACCCATCTATCTATTCTTTTGGAACAAGCTTATTAGTCGTCTGGCAATGATTGAAGTGTCGTAAGCCTTGGAAATTTGTGCTAACTAGCAGTAGTTACAGCAAGCTTCTCTTGGGCTTTTTTTTTAAAGGACGGCAAAATATTTACCGTAATTTTTATTAGACGAGGAAAGCAAAAAAGCACAGAAACAAGAAAAAACAACTGCGGCCTCAGCCGGGGTCAAAGGAAATATCAAAACATGACAGCAAACCCCTAAGAACTCCTAGATAAAGAAAAAACGACAACCAATAACACCACTAGACTCCGGCTTTGGCACAGGAACAACTGAGCACAAAAGGCGGCAAAGGGAAAATCTACTGCACTGTAGAGAGGCTCGAAAGCATTGCCAAGCTGTACTGGATATGTCATCCTTGCATAGAGAAACGACTTTACAGTTGCAGCTGATTAGTCGTTAGGAGTAGCTTTCATGTCCATCTTTGCAGACTATATGTGTTTGTGTGCTGCCTGGCTATTAACTTAGCTAGGTGCTTGTCCGCTTTCAGGTCTTTGAATTCTTTGCAGCCGCTGATGTGTGGTGCTGCTGGTGCACCTGCTAGCTGCAAGATTTTCTTCTTGTGTCATCTGCATATAGGTGGCATGCACATTGCAAGATGATACGAATTGGATGGACCTCGCCATCTGCCGTGTGGTGCCGTCGTGCACGCACTGCCTCCGATCCCTATCCCAAATTAAATCAACCTCTGCAGCTGTTCTAAGTCAAATTATTCTAAATATAACTAAATTTATAGAAAAAAGTTTAATCTTTATGACATCAAATTAATTAATATCATTCGGTATATCAATAAAATATAATTCTATAATATACTTATTTAGTGCCATAGATGTTAGCAGTTATCCTTTCTTATAAAGTTAGTCAAACTTCAGATAATTTAACTTAAGGTGATCCTAGGAATTAATTTATTTTGGGGCGAAGCGAGTACTAGTTGCTATTACCTCTGCTCCGAAAATATGTTTTTTTCCCTAGTTCAAACTTCAAATATAATGAAATTTTAGTTTCAACAAACTGAGGTATACTCTTTTATGATCTAGTTACATGCATATATTTCTCGACGTAATTGAACCGTATAGAGCTAATAGAGTTGACGGTTCAATCGGTTGGACACACAACAAACCGTAGAGCAAGACCTCTGACATAGCAAAGTAACATGCCCTCTAGTAACCAAAACTAACCAAGGTAGGGTTCTAGATAAATTGTGTTAGGGGACACAAGAAGATCAAAACACCGTGAGAACATGTAAATGTATCAGCATGTTCGTTTGCTCGTATACGATCGTTGATTATAACCTGGAATAGTATTTTTCTCTCACGTCAAACCAGCTAGCAGTAAATAATCCACGATCGTTTACGGTCAGCCGAACAGGCTGACAGTAATTAACGTGTGGCTTACACCAAAATGACTGCTATATATAAACGCATCCGTTGACTTCATTAGCTAGTGCCGACGTGCCAAATCGATCTTTTGCTTTGACGTGTACTGCGAGATATGGTGTCATCCCTGGTTCCTCCACTTAATAATCGTTCGCGCAGGGTTCGTGTCGTTCCTCTACTTAGCTCCGCAGATCCGTCTCGGACGGATTTGTACAAATTAAAGCTAGGTGCAGAGATATATATTTGTGCTGAGTCATGCTTCCTGCGTAATACGTGTATGTGTGTGTACAGAAGACTATGAGTAGTAGTATAGAAATGGCGCAAAGCAAGATTTGCCGTCTTGTCGGGTAACAAGCTAGCTAGCTATTAATAAGTGTTCTGTAGGTGACGACTTCGACAATAAATTACAACAAGCAGATCCAAATCCAACTAAGTACTCTAGGCCTTGTTTAAATTCAGAGTGTAAAATTTTTAGGTGTCATATGAAAGTGTTGTATGGAGTGTTTGATACTAATAAAAAAACAAAATACAGAATCCGTCAAAAATCCGCGAGACGAATTTATTAAGCCTAATTAATCCATCATTAGCACATATGTACTGTAGCACCACGGTGTCAAATCAAAACCTAATTAGACTTAAAAGATTCGTCTCGCAAATTAGTCGTAAACTGTGCAATTAGTTATTTTTTAGTCTATATTTAATACTCCATGCATATGTCAAACATTCGATGGGATAGAGAATAAACTTTAGATGGATGAACTAAACAAGACCCTGATAGTCTAATCCATTATTGTTATAAAAAACACAAAAACTATGTACTCTAATAGTCTAATCCACTATTGTTATAAAAAACACAAAAACTACGTACTCTACTCCACGTCGCATAGTCTCTCGAGTACGCATGTGCCATGTGGTGTGTGCAGTGCAGACGTGCATTGCATACTTAAATTTGTGCGTATCTATCTGCTACAGGTAGTATACATATTTGCATGCGTCTGCAACGAAGCAGCAGATATTTTTGGCGCGCGCCAGGACAGGGGGCATCTCATATAATATCGTATATGTATTGTTATATATTCTAGATCATGCGTGTGACAGATCAGCGCACTTAGTACGTAAGCAAACAGCAACGTCTAATTGTAAACTAGCTAGTATATACTCCAGTTGCATCGTATATGCGCGCTGATCGAGTGAACAATTTTCTTTAATATGGACGGTCTCCCACCTTCGGAGGATTTCTATTTTTATTGTATGTATCTCATAATAACTCATATGAAAGCTACTCCTACATAGTTTCCATTTCTTAAAACTCTTCTTGATAACTTATCCACATGAGTTACTGTGACATAACTAAGCTTCGTTGATGCGGTAAGTTTTGATCACGAACCAAACATGCCCTTAGTTTTGTGTTAAAAATGGATTCATTTCGGATTTTTTTTCCTTTCACGCTGCTGGATCCATCCGCGCGTAAGAATGAAACAGCACACAGCAGGGACAGCAGGGGTGCGCTCGCTCTGGCACGAATACAGGTACGTATACGTACGGTGCCATAGTCGCGTGGGTCGGTGCTGGCGTAGATACGTGGTTGGGCAGTGTGACAGTGTCTACCCTGGTACTCGTGCGTACGTCGTGTTCGTGTATGTATGTACAGACACACAGAGAGTACGCACGTTCATCAACACGCGGCACGCGCGCACGATCCGGGGCAACGCAAACTACGGTGCTGCGTGCATGACTGCACAAGTTAAATTCTACCGTACTATCTCTGTGCATGCAAGTGAAAAGTCGTTTATTTCTGTACTATCGAGAGTGATTCCTCACTTGTTAATTAACGTACGCCGTTGATAATGAATATCGTATTAGTTTGCTTCATTTTAGAAGCAAGCACCTAACTGCACGTACATTCACCCAACAAACACACGCACACAAACATCTTATCCAATCATACCGTTAAATCTTAGAATAAATAAAGCAATCACTTAACTGCATGTACACTGACCACATAAACATACGCAAACACATCTAACGTACAATACCATTAAATTCTAAAATAAATCTAAAAAAATACGAGCATCTGCGTAAGGGACTTCATCCGGATGGACATGTTTCACTACGCTTAGTTCGCATCCGTATTCAGCGCAATCAGTCATAGCATGACTGTGCTACCTCTTTGACAGTATATCGATACACATATATACTCCTTTTGGGTTCTTGATTGCTTGACCTCACGGATTGTCTCGTCTTCCTAACGACCGGCAGTTTGGTTTGGAGAAGCCAGGCTTAACTTTGCCATGGTCTTGTGACTTGATTCTTGAAGAATTGCAGCAACATGCTACACAAGAGAGAACCTTCTTGCATTTGTACCTTCATGAGAACACAAGATCCTCCAAGCTAATGCTGTTGTTGGGCAGATATATATACACAATTGAGGGTCACTGTTATCTTTCATGCCACCCATTCTGTGCTTAGGTAGCCAGCACAGGAAATCGAAACAAAATATGCATACATGTAGGAGCTCAGGGGCGCAGAAGCTCATTTGCAGACACCACCACCACCACCATTAGCACAGCAGAACAGGCGAACAACAGCATAGCCGGACCATTGCAGCACAACGTGCAAATAAAAGCATTGCGATGTATCTAGGTGACATCAGAACAAGTCTTTATTATTATAGCAACTTCTTCAGCTCAACGGGAGTTTCAAGTTTCGACCATCGAATTTGCATGTGTTTGCATACAGGTCCAGGTACAGCAATGTAAACATCGCCAGCATCATTTGTTTCAGGCGTCACAAGGACACCAACAGCCCAGTGTAGCGGATACTACATATACCACAGCTCACATCCGGTTCAGTCCGCACATCTCAACCTCACCCTCAACGGGATTGTTGGACCGAGTCCACACTACTTATTATCAAGGCAAAAAGTTTTCAATGTGCGTGCGGCAAATGGCATCTTCTGTATAAAAGGAGTACAGCAGCTAAGCTGGGCATATGCTTATTCTTTGTTCTTGTCCTCGACGAGTTCTCCTTGCGGGACCAGATCCTCAGGAGACAAGTTCAAAGTCTCTGCGAGGAAAAAAAAAGAATCATATGTGGTACATAGGAAATATAAATGCCAAAAGATTACTGACTAGCTAGTAGAAGAAAGGAGTACCATCACTGTCCGCAGATGCATAAGAAGTTCGACGGGCACGGGCATTCTGTTGAGTAGGCTGAGAGCATAATTGATGGGGAAACATTCAAGTCAAGAAGTTAACTTGGCATGACATAGCAATGCAATTAGGACACATAATAATTACTACATATGGGACTTGCTACAGGGTTATGATGTGGTCTCAAGCTTATACAAGGTATCAAATAATTAGGACGTATAATGTATCAATACTGCCTCCCATATCAACTTTGATAAAGTCAATATGCTACAAGACAATTATATGGATCTGGAACTATCTTACAATAAAAATGCCTGGGATTTTTTCAACCATGTGCCCCATGCTTTTACTGAATAGACCATCATGCATCTGATGTGGGTAGAAGTTGCTACCTGAAGCTTCGGTCGAAGTGCTTCAAGAGGACCTTTAGGTTTGTTGGGAACACCACCTTGCTGAAAGAGCAAAAGATGAGAACATATATCACATTTCTCTGAATAATTAATTAATATCAAATTCAATTATATTAGGGGGAAAATCTATTACCTTTCCTAGAGCCCAATCAGCAGAATCAAAGTAAGCTCGTTCATGGTCCTGATAAGATGTTTCAATTTAAGATCATATTAGTATAGTGAAAAGAATGTAATATGCTCTACACCTATTTATATACGAGAAAACATCACACAATTTAAATATATAGAGAAAAGCAGTGACATCATAAGGTAATGTTATTGACCTTAGATATAAGTGGAGTCTTTCTGGGTAATATTCCTCCATACTTTTTCTTAATTACCGCCTCCTGCAAAAACACACAAGTAGCAGTGAGCCAGTTAGAAGGCAAACCATACAAGTACATGAAACAAAGGCTGTGCGGATACTATAAATACACACAAACAAGAGAGAAATGGTGATGCCAAAAGACAGTACCTCCTCTTGTCGTGAGGGCATCCCACCCACTTCATTCTGGTCTTGAACTTCTTCTACTTTTTTATCTGAAACATCTCCTTCAACACTCACTTGGGCAGGTGCATCATCAGATGCCATCCCAGACATAGTAAACTTGAGCTGCAAGAGAAGAGTTCAACTTCATGATTAGTTCATATTCATGAATCAAGATGGTGATCAGGATAATTTACGATGTACAACAGGTAGTGATGCACATATGTGAGACAATTAATTCCAGATTACCACGTGCTCATATTTTCTCTTAAAAAATATAATACGTTTATTTTCCTTTATGGCATAGTAGGAGAGCATCACCATAAATTAAACCAGGTGTCTAATGACAACTCTGTGTACTACACCAACATCGATTTTCCATCAAAAACTTGGTTATGAGAATGAATTCAAAATTTCAAACACTAAACTGCCTTCAACAGAAGATTAATAGAAGAGCAATGTCTGAGCAAGTGAATGGCAACACAGGAATGAGGACTGCGAACATACTTGCTATCAACAACAATCTCAGCCCTAAAGATCTCCAGTCAGATATGTTTCATAAGGTCAAGACATGTTGTTGACAGAAAGTTACCAGCAGGTCATTAGACAAGACAACAACAAACACTAGTTTTAAGTTCTAACCAGTACCAAATATACTGGAGATTATCTACTGTTCCTATCTACAAGACAGTCTAGAAAATATGTTGGATATCCTTTGTCTTTGTTAGTCACCATAAAACTTTGTTGTTCTGCATTGGCACTTTCCGAAACACACTTTGCCAAAGCTAGTTTGAGAAAAAAAATCATTCACAGAGACCACCTTTCAAAGAGTTACACATTTATTGTTGGGAACTTATCAATTAACATTGCTTTCTTACCAAAACTGGCATCAGATTTTGTGTTAGAAAAAGACAGAAAAGTATCTGTGCTACGGATTTGCTGGCAACTCCTCCATAACAAGACTTCACCAGCTGGCAGACCAATTTATGTATAAAAAATATGCAGGCTCATGTTACCAGATTGTTTGGTTTGAAATATTAAAATGCAGAAACTAAGTCAATAGCATTTGATAGTGCAAAAATAGAATTCTCAACAAATCAAGTGTGAAGGAAATGGTTAACTCATCAATTTTCTTTAAAGCATTCGTGATTTCCTACATTGTCACCACAAAGGCTGAAAGGGAATGGCATCTTTTCCTGTGTCGTTCAACTTAACAATATTTTTGCATAGTTCAGCACATGAGATTATCGTTGAGCAAAAATCTCTTTCTTCCTCAAAATCAGCAAACACATCTCCTATCACAGGATTGAATTTGCTGTCTATGCAGCATCGATACAAATATGCGTATCATCATTAGCACCAATACATGGATACGGCATTTTCTCCCAAAAGATGGTACATGGATACATGTTACTAATTTTCCAGAAACTAAGTAATAATGGACATCAATTATAACAGCAGGAACAATATATTAGCTTGTGATTATGCTCTTTTGCTGTATCCTAAGGCCTAAGCAGTCATTCCTATGAGCCAAGGACCAAACAGTATTTCAGATGCTCCACAGTGCCACTTTTCTGTCCAGCACGTGCACTATCAGCACGGCACTACTTGCCCTCTGCACTTTGAATAGGTGACAAGTGATAGGTCTTGGACAACAAAACAAACTTCCGTCACAGGGCCTGTTTGGGGGAAGTTGGTGTTTTTGCAAAAGCTACTGATCCAAAAAGCTCACTTGGTGGTCCGAGAAGCTATTGATCTGAGAGGCTAGCCTGTTTGGCAACCCAATTTTTGGATACCCAGCTAGTGGCCTGTACACTGAACCTGAAGGGTGGAATGCATGAAATACCCTCTGTGGATAATGAATGGCTGATTCATCGTGAATAACCCCATAGAGTTTGGTTAATGGTAATTATTTTGTTTGACAGTTTCAGTTTTCATAATGAATAGGACTAACACATTACAATTACTTCATATAATTAGGAATGCTTCGCTGTGTTTACCAAGCATTACACAAAAGGACATCCTCAACATGACATGTGTTTATCGTGCAATATACAAAAAAACCTACTTGAAGCTAACATGTGTGTTCATCAGTCACATACGGAATAGTTAGTTCATTATCAAGGGGTTGGGACACATGAAACAGGCCATCCTTAAAGCACTATCACTACCGACAAAGAGCACACCGCATTTGCGCTGTCCTTGAACAAATTCCATCTATAATAAGCAAACAGCTAGCATGCCATTTCCACTGTCCTCGAACATATTTGGCTATAAACAAAGACCACAAGGCATTTGCTATTCATCAATCCATGATGTCCACCACACTAAACGTTGATTAAATTAATTTCAAATCGCGCGCATCTTCACGTCCGTGTCAGCATCTCACAGGTGTATAAATCGGCACCAGGCAATTTTTTCCTTTTCCGATCTGGAATTCGTGTACAGCCACAGGCTAAACGGAGAGGCGGTGTGAGGCAGCACCAGTCATACCGTGGGGGGCGCGACGACGAGGCGAAGGCGCGGGAGCCCGGTGGATTCGGGGTTGTGCTGGTCTCCTGCTGCAGAACGGGGAGGAGGCGGATGGGGGAGCCCAGAACGGGCGCGGGGAGGAGCGAGAGGCGTCGATCCGGAGCTCGGCGAGGAAGGGTGGGTGCCGGAGCAGCTGGGCGGCGCGGCGCGGCCGTCGGACGGGCGGCGCACCCGTGCGAAGGCAGGCGAGAGACGGACGGGTGGGGAGGAAGAGGAACGGAGGACAGGGGGGGGGGGGCGCCGGCAAGGATGCCGAGGGTTGCGTGCGGGACGCGGGGGTATTTGAGGAATGGCAGAAGCGGGTAATTTCGTTGGCTCGCAAGGCCATATCTATATTCTCAAAATCCGATTTACTAATTTAAATTTGATTTGATGACGAAATTAGTATATTGGACTTGCTCGTTTTTCTCTACACTGCTTTCATGCCTAGTAGTCACTGGTCAAGACCAGATCCAACACGGGCTTTGATTGGATGTCGTTGGATTCACTTTAATTTACATGTGTTAGGGTGAATTTTAGTGGAATCAATTGATATGAATTGGACTACATTCAAATAGTATGTGTACAATTTAGATAAAAATCAGTTTCTAGATATAGATAGAGTGTTTGTAATGTGATGATGTGCCCATCTATAATCTAATATAATTCTTCTTTCATTTAAAAAAAGAAGACTCTGTTTGAGTTTGTGGAACAGTGGAAATATTAAAAGAGAGAGAGAGAGAAGGAACGCTCATTGCGGTGTTGTTTTGGAACAAAAATCTGAACTACACGAGTTTGCACCAGCAGAGCAGAGTCTAGACTCATCAAGATAACTATTCGTTTCAGACTAGTTTTCTCCTTTTTTATGGGTCCCACCTATCAGCGTCACGGGGCTTCCTCCGAGGGCGCAACAGGGGGCCGCGTGCCAAGAAAGCCTGGCCCGGGCCCAATAGCGGGCGGCCCAGGTGAAAATCAGGCGCCAGCCATAGCCCATAGGTCCTACTCGACGAAATGCGATTTCAGAGTTTTGCTTGGAAGCATCATCGCTGCGATCTCACTTAAGTCAGTGTACAGGCAACTTGTTCTGAAACGCATCATTATCCTTCTGCGCAAGAAGGGAGTATACTTGAGCAAGGAGTGCATACAAGAAAAAAAAAGTGTAATATACTGAAGCAAGCATTCAACACAAGGAGCAGCTGCAGCTAGTAATTGGATTGGAAGCAGAGTATATATATTTGTTTTATTCATCTAGTTCAATTTACATCATTCATCTAGTTTAAAAAGAGTTAAATTTACATCAGTAAAAAAGTATAACCCACAGAAGAACTATGCAATTCATCTTCTCTGATTTAAATCTGCCTGAGACGCATCATTATGGAACTCCTTTTTACAGCTCGTCACAACGATCAGACTGACCATGATCTGTCCTGTCAATTCCCATCGAACAAGAATCAAATCATCGAAGACAACGAAGACGATTAGATCTTGTTTGAAGCAAATAAATCAGTCATTTTATTTATCAAAGCAAAGAATGACCACACTAGCTATATTCAATATTCATCAAAACATGCTGACGTACCAGTCAGAAATAGAAAGATCAGGTCGTAGTCTATGCAGCGCTGGTGAAAGCGAAGAATCCCATCTTGTGACAAAGGCGAAGCACATGGTGTCCATGAGCTTTCTCTCTTGAATACTAGTGCAGCATAAATTTCCTCATGCGTACAAAGTGTCCATATATAAGATTACATTGAGCATCATCACCTGAAAGAAGATGTGTAGGCACTATATTGCTGCCAATTGACGTAGAGAGAGATAGTCAGATAGATTAGTTATATTGATAGTATTCACAAAACAAAATTATATTGATAGCATGCATAAAAGGGTGCAGCCCCAGTGCACCTAGCTCCTGCTTGCGCAGGGTCAGGGGAAGGGTCCGACCACTTGGTTCTTTTGTACGGTAAGCAGCCTTTACCTGCATTTCTGCAAGAGGCTGTTTCCAGGATATTGATAGCATGCATGAGGAAGGTAATCAGTGAGCTGAGACAAAAGGGTAGAAACATGCGTGTATTGCTAGTATGTATCATAGTACTAATATTAAATGTGTTTTGCCACATGGCAAGTGCCAGCAGGGGTATGGGAGAAAGGGTTACAACACTCAATACATACATAAAATCGTAGTTACAGATACATACCAGCTGTTATTTTCATATTTTGACCTTCAAGTGCTGCAGCTCACATCCTCCATCCCTGTTCTGCTCAACTTGAATTGCTAAGCCACTTGATGTTGGCTGCAGGACAACCTGGGTGCATGCAAACAGCGTTTCTCAATGTGGACTCTGCAGCCCTTCTGTTGGTTTACCATCCGCACACAAACTGGTTATGCTCAGGAATGCCAACCATTAGCACGACAATAATTGCGTGAATTAGTAAGTGCACGCGCATGTTTGACTTTCTTGAACAAATTATATGTGGTCTCAACTTTGTCCATCTCCAACAGCTTGTTGTTCAGTTTGCTGCAAACAACTCTCCCAAGACAGAAGCCATTCCGAAGTGATTCCTCTACCACAGACACAGCAGCATCAACCTTACCCACACTGCAAAGCCCATTTACAATAAACTCGTAAATCTCCTTATCGGGTTGATATCCGCACTCCTGCATCTCTTCCCAAATGTCCAAAACAATTCCACTCTTCCCAAATTTAGCGAGCCTTTCTAGCAAAAGCTTATAAGCTTTCAAGGATATCACACAACCAGCCTTCCTACTCTTTTTGTATATCATCAAAGCAGCGTGAGGCGGTCCAAATGTACACAATGGATTGATAAATGATGTTATCATCCCAGTATTTGGCAGAACTCCTTGGACCAACATGTCATCAAACATGTGGAGCGCATCAGCTACCCTGCGACCTCTCAAAAAGGCTTTAATCATCTTGGAGTACGTGTCGATGTTTGGGGGACAGTTCTTTTCCAACATATCCTTGTAATACTTGATGCAACTGTCCAAATCCCCAACTGAAATAAAATTGAAAATAAGTGCATTGTAGGCCATCGTAGTTGGACCATATCTCCCATGTACCATATTCTCAAACTCCCTGAGTGCGTCCTCAGTCTGCCCGGCTCTACCCAATCCCTCAATTAGATGGCAATGTGAAACCTCATTTGGAACTAGCCCATCCTCCTGCATCTTTGTCCAAACCTCCTGCAATTTATCAACACTCCCAAACCTCGCCCAGCCACCCATGACATCATTGTACACATCGCTATCAAGACCAAGCAACTCCTTACGAGCAGCCTGCAAGAGTGAGCTAGCAAGACCAACATGTGACCTCCGGCAAAGACACCTGATGAGGACAGTAAATGCCTCCTTTCTGTGGCAAGCTTTCCCAATCCCAAATCCAAATTGGTCGGTACTGAGCACCTCAACAGCCCTACTGACATGCCTGGCGGCAACTAGGCTATCAATGATGATCTCCAGCGTGGTCAGGTCTGGAAAGATGTTGTTTCTGCACATGATCTGAACGGCGTCATCTAGAAAATCAAAGAATTTCTTCCTCCCCAATGCCCTAATGACAATGTTGCAGGTGTGGACGGATGGGGGAGGCTTGGAGTTAGTGACCGCCCAATCAAAGAAAGTGACAGTGGCGGCACCACTGAGTTCGCCGGCGTTGACGACATTGGCAAGAACATCTGGTGAGAGCGCCATGGCAGCGCCAATGCCTGTTGAGGATAGCGCCTGGTGTAGCGCAGTGCGGCCAGGGGGCTTGCGGAGGAAGACCCCACGGAGGCGATCTGCGGCAGATAGGAGCATGGCGGTAAGCGCTGGATGGGGGTCAGGAGGAGAGTCGGTAGAATGAAGAATAGTAGGGATTGGAGGTGGATTGGTAATGGTAGGGGAGGGGAGGAAGCGGAGGGACGAGATGACCATGTCCTCAGCTGAGGCTGAGGTAGAGTAGCTGCGGCAACTTTGGAGGAAGAGGAGGCGCCGGGCCGCCATCCGTTTGCCTCCTTGGCAACCCCTTCCTGTTCACGGAGACAATCCTGGTCGGAGGAAAGAAACCACCGCGGGCAGCAGTGACCGTGGCTGCGAATGGCAGAGGCTTGGGAGAGACGATGCAGAGATGGAATGGTAGAGGGTTGGGACAGGCGATGCGGAGATGGAATGGCAAGAGAGGCAGAGCTTGTGAACCGTGTGTCAAACACCACCGCAGGCGGCAGTACCCATGCCCATCCTTGAGGCCATCCCACCTGACATGCAGCAACAGATGTTTGGAATTAGTCAAAACATAAAGGTTTAGAGCTTGCAGAAAGGTTTCTCATGCTAACCAGGGATGAGGAGAATTCATTTTGATCTAATCAACTGCAACTGATGATCCCTCCATCCCAAATTATAAAACGATCCAACTTTCTTGGAGAGTCAAAGCATCTCAAATTTGACCAAAATTATAGAGACAATTACAAAGATTTATGATATCAAATAGATATATTATGGAAATATAATTAACGAAGAATCCAATAATACTTATTTGGTATCCAAATGTTATTATTTTATTATATAAATTTGGTCAAACTTGAAATGCTTTGACTCTCCAAGAAAGTTGGAAGGACTTATAACTTGGGACTGAGGGAGTACAATATTATAGACCTTGCTCCGCAAGAGAATCTCCATACCCTAAAAACTGAAATCCAATTTTACCAAAGCAGCATCCAATGGGAAATGATTGGTGAAGGCAAGTTCTTCACAGGAAATGTGGTTTTGTTAAATTGACGCTGAAGGTCGAGAGAGCAAGAAGCACTCACTCACGACCGCAAACTACTGAAAGCGGCACTCACTTGAACATGATTAGATCAGCTCTCCATAAAACACATAACTCCATTCTCCTGCTCCCCATGTTCTCACTCCGAACAGAAATTAGAGCTGCTGCATAACACATGTTTCTCATTTGTCCAGAAACAAATATATGTTTTTTTATTAAAAACAACTTGAGTCTTCAAAACGTTTTAGCTAGATAGATAGATCCTTTTAATCCTACCAACCTGTGAGGAGTGACCTTCCTTTACCGGAATCATAGAAATTGCATTATAAGCTCAGTGAGAAAAGCTAACAATGAAAGTTTCGTTAAAGAACCAAAAAAAGATTTTTTAAAAACAGTTTTGCAAGACTTGCATGCTTTACCAGAATGGGCTCAAGATACTACTGCATTTTTTGCACCTGCAAGTCTGCAACTTTGATGAGCACAATGCAGTGCACCAAACCCTGAACAGATAGATCTCCAAATGCTCCACCTTATGTTTCAGCTACTTGTACTAGCGCAAGATATAATATAACACTATTTCACTATCCAAGAATAATTTCAGTAGCAAAATACAATTTTTTTTTTCAGAAAGAGATGCTTGACTGAAACAATTGAGATCACAGCCACCACATCTATGAACATCGCTATCTGCATGTCTCGCCCAAATGAATCGCTCAATCGGGAAGGGGAGGAAAAGAAACAGTGGATGTGGATCTGTACCTCTTGGCAAGGCGCAGGGATGGGAGGATGGGATCCTTCTTCTCCAAGTCAAGGGCCTGGAGCAGAGTGGAGCATCATGGACACCGGAGGGAACGCCGGAGCAGAGCACCAGGGGCAACAGAATGGGGATCCTCATCGCCGCTAGCCGTATGCTTACTGTCATCCATGGCCTCTCCTTCGCATTCTTCACTGCAGGGAGCGGCTCCACAGAGATCTCAGTGCTCCCCTCCTCATCAGCAGCGGAGGGCAAGCAGTGACAGACCCAAGAGGGTATGTCTACCTAAAAATCAATATGCAATAAAACATATAAAAAAATAAATCCAGTAGACAGTTCGGTACAACTACACAAGTAAAAAATAACCAAAAAGAGATACTATGCCTAAATTCACTAAATAAGTTTGCAACATGCAAAACATGGCAATATAAATTGTCCAGGCATAAGAAAAGTTCTCAAGTAAATAGAAGATTGCAATACTAGTCTTGGGTTTTTGCTTTTCGTGCATCATTTTTAGCCAATGAAATATGCTATCTTCAACAATCTCACCACTTTTTGTCACTCTCAAGACCCAAACCATAAAAGGGGGGAAACTGGCCAGCTGCTTTTCAATAGTTCTTTACTCTCTCCCTATTATCGCACTAATGGTACCAATTTGGTGAGCTCTATTCGCTGGTCAGTGGTCAGTTATAGCAATCACTGTCACCACATGCTTCAAGAAATACCATGAAACTGGCCTGCATCCTGTCTCTCTACTAAAATCAAAGAATATCTAGTTGTAAGAGACGGGTGGAAGAAATGCTTCTAAATTTTTTCCCCAGAGCACACGCTAGCGCAAGGTCCTATAGCTATAGGATATCCGAAACTCTTCTACGTGGAATTCATATGCTGAATCAGCAATTCGTATTTCACACTCAGTCAATCACCAATGACTCACCAGAGATGCAGAACAGCAGTCGGCAGTTAGCAGAGGCAGAGCAGCAGGAGCAGATGCAGGGCACTAGAGCAGCGGCGGCGTCGGCCGGCGGGCACTGGACACTCGGGCAGGGGCAGGGGCAGGGGCAGGGGCAGGTGCGCTGGCAGCCCGGCCACGCCGCAGCAGTGCTGGAGGATGGGGACGGGCGGTCCAGCGGCCTAGCGGAGTCCAGCTCCGGCGGCGACGGCGCTCACGCGCTCAGCTGGAGGGCGTCGGGGTCAGGACAGACGGGGCGGCATCGGCTTCTCATCTGGCAGGATTGCGGCGGCTTCGTTGGGCAGCTTTATGCGCAGAAGCCGCCGGCGTCCGTCCGTCCGTCCGTCCGTGTCGCCGTGCGGCCGCCAGGGAAGGCACAAGTTGAGCCTGGAATTGACCGGGCCCGAGGAGAAAATTCGTTTCCTTCGGGATTTATTTTTATTTTTAACACTTTTTTAAACTAATTTTAAATCTAACACAGTTTCCCTACAAAACACTTTTGGTCGCGCCTATTGTCATGGCATGGCGAAACGCCTGTGCCACGCCATGCATGGTGGCACGGCGAGAGGATGATGTGGCGTCGTCCTGGCAGGATCTGTCACGCCACCCATCTTGGCGCGGCTGTGACGCACCATCGCTGGTGGTGCTGCAAGGCCCAATTAAAAGCCCGCGCGATGCCCCACTGCGCCTGCCCTCGCCCTCGAACGCCGCCGCCGCCTGCGCACCCACCCGCCCAGCTCCGCCTCGCCTCGCCTCGCCTGCGCCCCCACCCGCCCAGCCCCTGCCAGCGTCGGCGCCTGCCAGCCCAGCGCCTCCTCGCCTGCGCCAGCCGCCGCCGCGTCGCCTCCTCTCCTTCGGCTCATATCAAGGTAGCTCTCTCTCTCGATTTCTTGTTATTATGAATGTTATTTTAGTTAGGGTTAGTGATTTAGGATAGTTAGGGTTAGTGATTTAGTACAGTTAGGTTAGTGAATTTGTTTATTTAGGTAGGTAGTTTTTAGGGTTTAGGTTATGTGTTGTAGTATAGTTAAGGTTTGGTTAGGTAGTTAGGGTTTAGGTTACTGTTAGTTAGGCCTTTGGGTTTAGGGATTGATTTGATATTTATTATTTAGTTAGTTTATAGTAGTAAAGGTTGTTAGTATAGATACTAGTTTTCAAGTATCGGTACTTAGTAGTGCACTAGTGCATGATACGGCGATTTGGAATGGTTTAATGAACCTCCTAACTTCAATGACGTTTGTGTCCGTTTGAATACATAGAAGTTGCTTATTTTCCTAGTGAAGTTGTTTAATATGTCTGCTAATGTTACTTTGAATATATACATGTGCTTTCATATTGTGTTTCTATTGCATAACAAGTAGTTTAAATTTTGCAATGCTATATAATGTTAATTTGAATATTGTTAATTTGAATATTCTAACTCTTTGTTTATCAATTTGCAATAGGATGGCCCCTCCCACGCAGTACCCGTTGTACCCTCTTCTTGAGGTGGAGTATGACGAGCCGCACTGAGCACACATCTTGAGTGACACCGACGCAGAGGTGGCCTTGCCTCCCTTGAGGCCCCGCACGCACACCAGGGCGCACCAGTGGGACGAGCGTTACGCGCCGTACATACGGCGTACCGGCTTCCTCGAGCTTGTCCGTGTTGTCAACTACGGTCTTCCGCCCATTAACCCAGCACTACTTACTGTAGCTGTAGACAGGTACGAGTGCCTTCATTGTACGTAAACATTCTTATAACAAATTTGAGGCAAATAACAGTCGTTCTATTCTTATAACAGGTGGAGGCCTAAGACCCACACGTTCCACCTACCTTGCGGCGAGATGACCTTGACCATGCAGGACGTGATGGCTATCTTTGGCCTTCGATTGGGGGAACTTTCAGTGACAGGTGTAGTTGACAACGATCACTGGAAAGAGCTGGTGGCTCAGTTCACTGGCTTTCTTCCACCGGACGATGAGGTTTCCAAAAAAAATAAGTGACCAATTCAAGCCTATTTAATAATTGCATTGCTTTCCTACAGCCATCGGGTCTCATTTTTTGGTGAATTTCAGGAAAAGTTCTGGTGTTTCGTCGTCGTGGATCACAGAGCGCTTTGATTATTTGAACCCACAGGCTGATGAGGTTCAGATCGATAGATTCGCTAGAGTGTGGCTCTACACTTTCTTGGTGCTTTTCTCTTCATAGACGCCTCGGGCAACACCATCAGCTAGATCTTTCTTGACATACTACGCCAGCCATGGGAGAACATAGCAGCGTATAGCTGGGGCAGCACAGTCCTGTCATGGACGTATCGATAGCTATACGTTGCCTGCCGTCGCACCTCAGGGTATACGAACCTTGGGGGTTGCTCCTACCTACTCTAGGTTTGATGTTGGGAATGATGGCCCGTTGGGAGACCCCTTGCTACTGGTTTACCAGTAAGTACTTTGGCTCACTATATTCTTCGAGGCAGTTACATATGATGAAAATATTAATGGCTAATTCATTATCGTGTTCAATGCAGCAATGGAACGGGCATGATACACTCCCTACAGCTCTGTATATCTGGACGCAAGCAGAGTTAGTTAGAGGGAATGCGAGGCGCAAGTACAAGGAGTACACGGATGGTCTCGACGTCCTGACACAGCACTAGGTTATGCTCTCTTTACTATCGTACATGTGTCTTGTTCGATGTACACTATATCACAACATAACTCAATTACGAAATGTTCAGGTGCATTGGTGTCCTTGGGATGCTCTGGAGCTCGATTACTATCTGAGTCCTGTCACTAGGAATGAGTCAGACGAGTATCGCTGCAACGTCCCTCTTATTTTCTTCCACGTGGTCGAGATTCACTTGCCCATCAGGGTTTGCAGGCAGTTTGGAAGAATGACAGGTTACCCACCACCACTTTACTCCACCAACCAAGAATTGCACGGGTGCGTTATCGATTAATAACAAGCTACAATTCAGAGGTGTGTATGGTACAACTAACAATCGTTTTGTTGCAGGTATGACCGCAGGAAGAGGTACAAGACCAAGGATTGGCGCATGACACACAACGCGTACATCTAGTTGTGGCAGAATAGGGACCGGTAGCCGGTCGATGTGGGTCCCCCACACGACCAGCACACCTTCGACGAGTACCTGCAGTGGCTTCATAGGTCTACGAGGACACATATCAAGCCCCCGTACACTGAGGAGGCGATTGACGAGGACGACGAGGAAGATGTGATCGAAGATGTGTACGATGTTGCCACTAGGGACGACATACAGCTACAGAGAGCCCCGCTTCAAAAATACGTGGTAAGATACTCGAATGGTATAATTTGTTATCCATTTGGTATTAAGTATGTGTACTAAAACTGTCCAACCGCGTTTCTGTACCCAGTCGACACAATTGTCAAGGCTGTCCAACGAAGCAGCGTTTCGGCTTTACGAGTCTAGAGGGCAGGGGCCATGCATTCTCGAGGCTTTGTGGAGGTAAACATAAACTTTTCCGTTTCAAAAATGTTTCTTTAGTGTATATGTGTTTGGGAAATGCACTAACTTTAACGTCTATTTATGCAGAAGGTGAAGCGGAGCTGCAGGAAGCTAGCTCAGAAGCTGAGCTGCATGGACACTCCTTGGGTGGAACCGGCAGTCCCAGCGTGGTCGGGTGGCACGTCTTCTAGCTCTTTGAGGACACCAGCCGGCTCTTCTCAGTCGGTGATAGGTACCACTTCCGCAGTGCGTACACCACCACATCATAGCGCTGGGAAGGACCCTGCAAATGAGGATGACGAGGACTACGACGACGACGACGACGACCCCCTGGGCTTTCGCAGACAGCACCATTAGTGGGACGATTGACCGCAGGACGAGATCGACATGTCTTAGCTAGGTGGTGCCCCGCTTGGTACCCAAAGAGCCTCACAGGTAGTAATAAAGGTAGTCTCTTTAAATTCATAGGCTCCATGAACTAACGATAATAAAGATTATATGTAATCGTGCATATCATATACTTGCAGGGTACGAGCCATACGCACCGACAATGTGACCACACCGACGTTGGATACACTCCCAATGTGTTGCCTTCAAATCCAAAGAGACAGAGGCATCTGAGGGATTCTTACGCTCCTAAGACTTAGTTAGTTATGTCGAACTTATGTCGAACAAATATTGTCGTCCAAAACTTGCAGGCTCATGAACCAATGAAAATGTTATGTAGCAACTTGTCAACTTGCGCACGGACTCCATTTATTTGCTTCATATTCGTTTCAATGCGTCGTGGCAGCACTTGTAGTTGTTTACAGCACCAACAGTAGGCCAAGGAGGGAGGGA